ATACAATAATAATAATAATAATCTTGGGTGCAGCTTCACTTCCTCCCCTGAAGAAGCGATGCAATGAAGGAGCCACCTGGCAACATCCCATCCACTTTAGGAGGTGCAATCTAAAATTTGAGGTGACCTGGGAAACGGGAAGACAGACTCCTTTGAGCCAAACCGAAATTCAAAACAAGATGCATTTCCAGCTGTAAAAGAAGGCAAAGAGGGGGTGCGGCGTCTCAGGGGTGACGTGCAAGGCTGCAAAGAAACACCTTTGTGGAACAAGCCAGTCTGGGCCCAGTAAAAGCATCCCTAGCCTGGCTGGGCGGGGCCTCTTAGGCACACACGCACGCACACACGGCCCCTTTTCAGAAGGCAGGCCGGAGCCAGAGGGGGCCAAGACGAGAGTGGGCGGAAGTGTGTCTTCTTCCCCCACCTAGGGTGGGGCTCTGCCACTCTGGAAGCAGCAGCCAGAAAGAGCACCTCAGCCACAGCTGGCCCCCACACCTGCCTGGATTTTTAAGCTGCCTTTCCGGGAACCACAGGACAGCAACGGAAGGCCAGCCCCGCCCAGCGCCTCTGTCGGCCCCAGTGGGGCAGAGCCAGAGCAAGGAAAGCAGGCATCTGGAGGGCCGACAGACAGAATCAGTGGGGCACATCGACGGGCAAAAGCTACTGAGGAAGAATCAGCACGGGTTCAAGTCAGGGAAGATCTTGTCTCACTAACCTTTTAAAGGTCTTTGAGGGGGTGGAACAAACACGTGGGCGAGGGTGACCCCATAGATGCTGCCCACCCAGACTTCCAGAAACCTTCTGATATAAAGTTCCTCATCAGGGGCTCCTCAGTAGACTCAGGAGTCTAAGCTCAGTGTCCCCTCTAAGCTCAGTCACTGTGAGAACAAGCTCACAGTTTCTTAGCCTCCGGCTCACAGATTTTTGTCTCCGCTCAGGAAGGGATGGGGCTCCAGAGAGCACACTAATTTAGGCAGCAGCCAAATCACCTGCTCACAACTTTCATGCCGGTAGCTCATAAAGTAGAATTTCTGCTCACAAGAAGACTCCACAGCTCAGAGGGAGCCTTGGTCATGGTATAAGGGGACAAGTCCTACTGTGGATTAAAAACTGGTTAGTTAACAGGAAACAGAGAGAGAGAGTCTAAATGGGCAGTTTTCACAGTGGAGGAGGGTGATAAAGCAGTGGGGTGCAGCAGAGCTCGGCACTAGGTTCAGTGCCTTTTAACTTGCTCACTAATGATTTGGAGTTGGGAGTAAGCAGTGAAGTGGCTCAGTTTGCAGATGACACCAAGTTGTTCAGGGCGGTGAGAATCAGGGAGAGGACTGTGAGGCGCTCCAGAGGGATCTGCCGAGGATGGGGGCGAGTGGGCGTCCACGTGGCAAATGAGGTTCAGCGTGGGCAAGGGCAAAGTGATGCACACTGGAGCCAAAAATCCTAACTATAAATATATGTTGATGGGGTGCAAACTGGTGGAGACTGACCAGGAGATATATCTTGGAGTCATGGTAGATAACTCACTGAAGATGTCGACTCAGTGCCTGACTGCAATAAAAAAGCCAAATGCTATGCCGGGGGTTATTAGGAAGGGGATTAAAAACAACCCAGCCAGTATCATCCTGCCCCTGTAGAAACCGATGGTGCGGCCTCATTTGGAATACTGTCTAGAGTTCTGGCCACCGCAGCTCAAAAAATACATTACAGCATTGGAAAAGGTGCAGAAAAGGGCAACTAAAACAATTAAAAGGATTAACAATTTCCCTGTGAAGAAAGGTTTAAAGAGGTTCGGGCTCTTTAGCTTGGAGAATCGACACTTGAGGGGTGACATATCGAGGTTTACAAAATTATGCACAGGATAGAAAAGGTAGAGAAAGAAGTACTTTTGTCCCTTTCTCACGATACAAGAAGGAGCAGTAAGTTTAGACCAGATCAAAGGAAGTCCCTCTTTACTCAAAGAGTAATTCACGTGGAATTCAGTGCTGCTAGAAGTGGTGGCGGCTACAAGCACAGACAGCTTCAAGAGGGGGTTGGATAAACATCTGGAGCAGAGGTCCATCAGTGGCTCTTGGCCACAAAGGTATAGATAGGAACTCTCGGTCTGGGGCAAGGGATGTACTGTATCCTTGGTGCTTTGGGGGGGGGGCCCCACAGTGGGAGGGGCTTCTGGAGTTCTGGCCCCACCGGTGGACCTCCTGATGGCCCCTGGTACTTTTGGCCACTGTGTGACACAGAATGTCAGGCTGGATGGGCCACTGGCCTGATCCAGCATTGGCTTCTCTCATGTTCTTACGAGGGGGGTCCATCACTGCATTTTCAGGCCTGGCCGAAGCCCCCCTCCACTTCACCCTCACTCTGTCCCCGTGTGAAGGCTTGGCCCTACAGGACTGCCCCACAGCCAGAGACATGCTGGCCACTGCAAGGAACCAGGCCCAGGGAAGCAGCAGCAGCAGTTTCCACAAGATGGCCGCCCTTTTCCCACCAGACCCCAGCTGGGGGAGGGGGGGTCTCCTTTCTCCAGTCTCCCCAGATGAGGCTTCCTTTGCAGCGGGAGTTGGCTCAGACCTGGAGGGGTCGGCCCAAGGAGAATGGATTGTGGTGGAGACGGAGGGCAAGGGCAGAACTTGCAGCCCTGCGGTGTTGCTCCCTCTCAGCTGCGGAGTCTTCCTGTGAGCAAAAATCCGACTTTGTGAGCTCCTGGCATGAACGTTGTGAGCCAGCAAATTGGCTACTGCTTAAAGTAGTTTGCTCTGGAGCCCCCTCCTTCCCGAGCTCAGACAAAAATGTGTCAGCTGGAGACTAAAAAACTGTGAGCTGGCTCACACATGACTCAGCTGAGAGGGAACACTGGTTGGCAGCTGAGGGGTTTCGATGTGTGCCGGATCAGACTCTGACGTAGGGCCCTGGATGGATGGGTGCCCGGGCAGGAATCGATGGAGGCGGGGCCGCGGGAGCAGAAGACCCGGCCCAGGAGAGGGAAAGCAGTGACGCCTGGGCCCAGAGGCCACCCAGCCAGGTCACCACCACAGCCTGCCAGTCGAGGGAGGCACCTCCCCCCCATCCCTCCCCCTGTCTGCTCGCCTGCTGTCCCCTCGTCTCTCCCGGTGGGGGACATGCCCTCACCCGCTGTGTAAAGGGGGAGAGGCCTGGGGCGCCTGCCTTTACACCTCCTTCCATGACTGAAACCGTTCTCCTAGAGGCACCTCCCAGTGGCAGGGCTGAGGGCGCTTGAGAACACAAGAGAGGAGCCCCAGTGTTGGATATCAGGCCAGGGACCCCCTCCCGTCCAGCACTCTTCTGTGTCACACGGTGGCCAGAAATACCAGGGGCCCTCGGGAGGTCCACCACCAGTGGGTCCAGAGCTCCAGGAGCCCCCCCCCCCTTTAGCCAGCCACTCTGTTGACTGAAGAGGAGGGATCTGCCTAATGGAGAACGGGCTGCAAAACAGCCCCCCCCCCCCAGAGCTTCACCCATCCGATGGGCAGGGCGAGGAGCCAGAGACCTCCCCTTCAGGGCCAGACCCCACACCCGTCCTGCTTCTGCCAGAGGCCACGGCGAATGGCTCGCCCCTCGCGCCACAGTCGGCAGCCAGACTGAGTTCCCCTCTCGCCCCCTGCCCGCTGCCTGCAGACACACGCAGGGATTGTGGCCGCCGACACCCTCTCATCCTTAACACTCACACACACACACACACACCCCACAGCCACCACACTGGCGTGCGCTCCCGGGGGGCCAGGCCACACGAAGGGCTCGGCAGCCCCGGCCAAGCGGCAGTGGCCGTTCACGAGAAAGATGGAAGGAGAAATCAACAGAGGGAGAGCAAAGGTCTCTGGCTCCGGCCTGCCGTGGAGACCACCCACTCTCTGGGGTCTGAGGCTGGAACCCAGGGCAGGGGGGGATTTGGGGTGGTGGGTTGGTGCCGAGGGCCTGGGCATGGCAGTGGCGCCCCCTTTCCCGCCCCCCCCCCCGTCAAGCTGGGACTGGCACACGACGTCTCACCCACGTGCCCCCATAACTCAGCTTTCACCTTAATCAACAGAAACAGATTAACTGAAAGGGACAGGAAGCGTTTCGTTCCAGAATGTTGTTTTAAAGCCAAGGAAGATCAGCACACACACAACCTTCTTCCCCAGCGACACACTGACGGCATCTGGGAGCCCCCGAAGGGCTGGGGCACGACAGGCAAAGGGGGGGGGTTCTCGTGAGCAGCCAGGACTTCCCCCTGGGGCGAAGCTCCCCCTGGCCCCCCTGGCCAGAGTCCAGTTCACCGTGGCAACCCAGGCGTGACCCCCCCCCACCAGCTGAGAGCCAAGGGTGGATCCTGCCAGGGCCCCCACCCTCCACGCTGGACCGTCTCCTGCCAGCCCCCCCAACCTGCCTTGACAGCAGCCCCCGGGGCAAAGCCCTTCCCCCGCTGTCCCCCCCCCACACTCCTGGTGGTCCACCTTGGGGGAGGGGCTTGCTGGGCTGGGTGGCGGCCTTCGCCAGGCACGAAAGGGCGGCTCCTCGTGAACGGCTCACAGAAGCCCCACAGGGGAGACCCACAGCAGAGGGCTGGTGGGTTTGCCGAGGAGAGACCCTCGGCCCCAGAGACCCCTGGCAAGGAAGTCTCCGCGGCGGCATCATAACCCAGGCCACTCCCCGGCTGCACTCACGCCGGCCTGAACAGGCGGTGTGCAGGCGTGGGGGGGCATACTGGGGCACTCTCTAGGAACACCCCCAACCCCAAACAAAAGGGCACTGAGAAGGCCCAGGCGTTTCGGGAGAGGCAGGGAGGCAGGCCCCCTGGCACAGAGGCCCCGCCCCATCTGTGGGACTTGAACACACACCCACCCCTTGCAGAGAGCCAGCCCATGCCAGGATGGGGCAAGGTTGCCACCTAGAGGCCAAGACCTATCAGCACGAGAGGTGAAAACCCAACCCCACAGGGTGGGGGGGGCACGAGAACCGACTCTACGAAGCCCTTCCCGGGACGGGGAATCTGTCTTCCCAGTCCCCCAGGGGTAGAGGGTGGGGGGGGCGGGGGGGAGACCTTCGGCTGTCCCCACAAGGGGAGTCCTGGGAGTGGGGGGAGCAGGGGGGAGGCACCCTCTCTTCCGACAGTGCAGGATCCCCCACCACGCGTCCTTCGGTGCCAGACTCTGCCACGTCCTGCACAGGGGAGGGGAGGCCAGGGCTGTGGCCCACCCAGGACTCGTCACCCTTCCGGTGGCGCCTGATGCTGCTTCCGGTGGCGCAGGATTTCCGTGGGAGTCAGGAGCAGCTGCTGCCGGCAGGTGGGGCAATCGTAAGGCCGCTGCAGAGCGGAGGCCCCGGAAGGGCCCTGGACCACGTCTTCCGAAAGACCTGGGGGAGCAAGGGAGGCCACCGGGCGGGGCGGGGGTGGGGGGGCGCCCGCCCTGCGGTGTCTCCCACCCCACCCACCCCCCGGCAAAATCTCGGCAGGCCACACAGAAGA